AAAGTACTTTAAACTGTATAAATAATGTATCTGGCAATTGATTAGGATCGACCAATCACGTGAAAGTCCTCCTATGAATGCATATCTTAAAATTCCCCGTAACACGGAAACAAATAGAGTACCCTATCAGTTAAATTTTCCGAGTTTTACGAAATTATTTGTAATTTATCTCAGTTTTTTTTATTGAATTTTAAAATAGTTTACATATATAATCTAATTGATACAAATATTTATTACTTTTTTTTTTTTTTTTGGTTTTTGGTTTTTATTTTTTGACACAGATCCAAAAAGCGCATTCATAAACGTACTTTAGCATCCCATTTGGATTCGAGGTATAAGTAGTATTTATGATTCTCTCGTCCTTTTTTTTGCCGTATATAAAAGAATTATATAAGATCAAACATATAAAATATTCATGTTTTAATATTTAAATATTATAGGTACCTGAAATCGAAATCCAATATCCTTTGCAGCAAATTTAACTTGATCCAAACTTAATTCAATTGACATCTCGCCAGGAGAGTTTTCGTAATGATACAATAATGGACCAAGATTAATCCATAATCCTCCAGCTTTCAAAATTCGATGAAATATTTCCATATACTCTAAAATATTTTTAGCCGTATCAACGAAAAAACAAGTGACCAAACAATCCCATTTTTCCGTATGCTGTTCCTCTCCATAAACTTCAATGAAATCACCCGCTACCATTGAAAAATTTGAATTCGGTGGAACGTTGCTAGGTAATATATCTGGTATGAAAATGGGTTTTAATTGATCATCCGAACAAACGATATTGGAGAAAGAATGAATATACGGATAAATTTCATACTGGTGAACCCTCTCCATCCTATTATAAACAAAATTTCCGTTATTATTATATTAAATATTAACCATTTTGAAATAAATAAATAACTATTACCTGTTTAAAATAAAATGTGATGCTAATAACTGAAATGATTTATCGATTCGACTATTAGAGTTATACAACAAGAAGAAAGATACCTTAATAAATCGATTTGACTATACCATAAAGAATGAAAATTCGTTTCCTAATGATAGGATGGAAAAAAAAATTAATCAACCTAATGCCAAAAATTCCTTGATTATTTTTATATGAATAAATAATACCTTGACAGCTAAATCCTTGCTGTACGATATCAAAGGCTAAGCGTCCTAATCCAGCACCAGGAACTAGGACGCGGATAGATGCCCTTTCTTCTTTAGAAATATCTTTAAAAGACTCATTTAACGCGTCAAGTAAAGGTTTATACGCAGCATCTCTTTCAGGTTGACCCTTATTCGTAAATAAGGATTATTTAGTTGAAATTTATTATTAAAAGTTAAATTGAAAGAGATTATTTTACCTCAATTGCCCATTCTCTTACAAATTGTTTAATAGTACTTCTTAATTTATCCATATCGAACTCGGTTACTTGATCTACGCCTTTATCATAATTATTGAAACTATTCTGACCCATTTCAAGTTTTTTGAAAATTTTAAAAACTTGTTAATCTTTAAAAGGTATTAGGAACCTAAAATGTCATGTAATAATTTGAACTACATACCTTATTTTCTTCTCCAGCAAATAATTTACCATCAGCTAATATCTGTTTTAATACATGATAATTTTTTGAAATTGCTTGGTCGACTTTATTTAATCTGGTCAAATGTTCCGGTATTAAAGCCTTATGCCGCTCTGATAAACTATAATAATCCGTTCTACGGCGATTATTAGAAGATAATGCGTGTGATTTATATAAAGTAAAGGTATTCAAGACTTTACGTAAATGCTAAAATATGAAGAACGGGAAATAATTTAGACTTTGCACAAGGAATCATTTTCATTATATAAGAAAAAAAAATAAACACATGGGACCTTGGCTTCTTCTTCGACGATTTCTTTATCAACATCTTTTGGATCATTAACAAACATTTTTTTTTTATTTACTTTTATAGTTTTATACTTATACGGAACAGATAAATAAAAAAAACCGAAATTTGGATTCAATTTTTTAAATGATCATCATTTACCGCAGTAATTCAAGAATTAAAAATAATTTATTTTTTGATTTATTGGAGGTTTTTTTTAAAGGAAAAAAAACCCAATTTGGTCTCAATAAAAATATACAAGAAAGAGGCTCTTCCCTAGTCTCTAATTTTGTCAAAAAAAAAAAGTATAACTATCCCAAGATTTTTATATGAAAAACAAAAATAAAAACTACAATAGATGGAAACAAATTTTTTTTCTTATTTTTTAATCATAATAAATCTGAAAATATAGATTTCATATGAACGTTGATGTAAATAAATATAATGATAAGAAAAGAAAATGAACAAAAGAGAAAATAAAGGACCTAAAAACAATCCAAAATGGGAGGCCCAAATGTTACCAATAATAAAAAAGGTATTGGTGGAATTGTAATTTCCTCTCTAAATATCTTTTCATCTAGTTAAAAAAAAAATAAAAACATCAAGTATATGAATAATATTTAAAATAAACTTATTTTATTTTTTTTTTAATACATTAAAGGGAATTAAAAAGTGACCACACAAAAAAAATGTGATCACTTAGTATCATTGCAAAAATTTTTGACTAAAAAGTCACACTTATTGTTTATTTTGTTAAATTGGGGTTTTAAAAACATATTTTTGATTTGCTTTTTTGTTTTTTGGTAATTCACGCGATAAAATTTATCTTTTGTTATAATAACACAAACAAAAGATAAAAATACCACGAAATATTCCCAAAAATAAAAAAGAATAATTTTTAATCGTAAACTATTATATGTAAAGGGTTAAAGTTGTAAGTTTTTACTATTTTTTTTTTTTTTTTTTTGACAAATAAAAATTAAAGGTATAGAACCAGGGAATTATAATTCTTAAAAAAAAAAAAAAGCAAGACTATAAGCCGAACACCCGCATATTCCCAAAAGAACTTCCAAATAAACAAAAAATGGATAGGGAATATATTTAAAGACAGAGGGTGCGGCAATTTGTCCAGCAATTTGCTATAAAATAATATAAAAAAATAATAATAATATAATACAATGCCATGTAAAAACACGACGGGGTTTGTTGATTAAGGAAAGTATTAAGTGAGAAGAAGAGAATTAAGAAGTACTTTTGAAATATTTTTGGTTCGTTGTGAAAAGGTTTTTTTTCGGATAAAAGGGAAAAGCTAATTACAGTAAGATGGTTAAAAGGTAACGAAACCGGTCGTTTTCCTTCTCTTTTAATATTAGAATATGTATTAGGATCCATGCCCTTGAAAAGTACGCCAGCGTTTGGAAATTAAAAAAAAACATTCAAGATCGAACGTTTTTATCGTTCATGTTTTATTGTCCCCGTTGTGAAATATTACAAGACAATATTCGAAGATAGTATAAAAATGCTAAAAGACGAGCCAGTCGTCTCAACGAATATTGTCATTTTATGAACAAAAAAAAAGTATTAACAGAAAAAGAATAAAAAATTATAAACCCAAGAATTTTTGTTGCTATTTGACAAAAAGAAAAAAAAATAAAAAGATCTCGATAATAAAGTCCAGTCCTTTTTTCCACCCAAAGATTAAAAAAAAAGTAAAAATTTTTACTCAAACAGTTCTCTCGTTTAGATACACCATATACACATATATATAAAATAAAACCCCGAAGGAGAGAGGAGCATTATTTAAAAAAAAATTATATTAAACAATAATTCCGTTTCCAGCATTTCCTTCCAAATATGCTGCAGGTAGATGGAAAAGTGGATAATTTGCATGTTCTGAAGCGGTATAAACTGCTAGTCCATTAGGAACACAAGATGAATTGATATTGGAATTATCATAGCTATAGCAATCATTGACAACACCATCTTCATAACCAAGATCAGAGGTGTTGGAACCGTCATCAGAAGGTGGTGGAGAATTGCTCATTCCACGTTCATGAGTCTTACGATGTTGTGCTAAATTATCGGATCTAGAGAACCTCTTGCCGCAAACCTGACATGAATAAGGGCGTTCCATGGTATGAGTACGAACATGACGTTTTAAATGTTCAAGACGTTTGAAAAGACGACCACATGTTGGAAGTGGACATGTATAAGTTTTCATGGGGTAAGGAGCTGCATTAGATCGATGCGTTGTGGAGTTGCTACTATTATTATTATTTACATTAACATTATTGCAAGAATTCGCACGTCGTCTTCTTTGTTTATAAGTTGGAGAACCTTCAAAGATTGAGAACATTCCGAAAAGATTAGCGGCAGTAGCAGCAGTATTTGGATTATTATATGTTGTTGATGAAGGTACAATAGTTTGAGTCAATCCTGAAACATGGGTTTCTAAATGGTCTGGTGATGAGTGACGACTGTCTACGTATTGATCTTCTAAGGATGAAGTGCTCCATGGAGATCCGGTAACGAAATATTCTGGTGGTGAGCTTGCTTCAAAAGTTCCCTTTTGAAGTTCATCCATAGAACAATAGCCAAGGTCTGGAGATGGATACATTTGTTGCTTAACCATTGTATTTTCGGGAATTGAAGGTTGAAATAAAGCAAATGTGCCCAAAGAAGGTTGAGCTGATGATGAATTTCCCATTGATTCTTGGTCAAGAGAATATAAAACGCCAGATGGGTCATCGGCCTTTATTTGAGTACCAATCATAGAAGGAGCCATTGGTGGTATTGAAGATTCGTAAACCAAACCACGAAGTTGTGGGGAGGATGGAGCCGATGAAGATGGTGATATTCCCTTTGTGAATTGATCATACAATGATTGTGTGGAATCAAATGAGAACGAAAGTGCAGGTTCGGAAATTGCAACTGTTGTAGGTTCAATACCCATCTTTTCACGTTTTAAGTCTCGTTCTAATGCATCTAAAAATAATCTATCATGTGGTACAGAAAACCAGTAGAAAACTTTTTGTTTCTTTTGAGTTCGAATACAGTTATTCTTATATAACATTTCAAGAAATTCTGATTTTGGTTCTTCAAGAGAAGCGTCCATGCCAGGTTTTAAGTTCCTTAAGTCACTAAAAACACCTTCTTCAAATTTTTTGATATTCTTTACAGGTCTACCGAAAGCTTGGAAACGGAATACCAGACTCCGTACAATATCTGTACCTGTTATGTGATAAAGACTATTCCAAAGGACACATGAAATATATTCACCGGTTGGAAGAAGATAGCGACGAATATTTTGGTCAAGCTCCCAATTGACTGGAGCGGTTGCCAACCAGTATTTGAGCTCATCAACTTGTTCCATTGGGGTCTTCATTGAACTTTCTACGGTATTCATTTTTATTATATATATATATTTTTTTTCTAGTTAAAATCAACAGATGTCTTTTTACAAAAAAAACAAGTATTTAAATTCTTTGACAATAACTGCAAGCAGTTTAAATTATGAGAGAAAAGTGTAATTTTAAAAAGTTTTTTTGTTAAGAAGGCCAATATGATTTGTATCAAACAAAAAATATGGCTTTATGGATGCGCAGCTCCTTGGTGATCTTTTTGAGAAGTGAGAAACCTGAGAGAGAAATAAAATTTATTTTCCGCAAGCGGCAAAGAGGTTCTGTCTATTATTAATGTTTTTAGCGTCTAGCTTGGGTTACTTTTCAACAACGGGGGAACGGGGAGGGTTTAATAGGATCAAGCAACAAAGTGGGGCATGGAATAAAAAAAAAAAAAGTACTTGAGGTACAACGAATAAAAGGGAACACTCGATTCTTTAAGCTTTTTCCGAAAAATAGTATTGAAAAATTGTTGATTGGGGGATTGTTCTTGGTGGCTATTGATTCAGGGTATCACAAAAGTTCCACATGTTCTTAATATTGCCTTTAGATGGACGGGGAACAAACCACAAAATATAAATAAATTACCTGTACTAAATTTTTAATATAAAACCTGCATATCAATGCATATAAATATAGGATAATAGTATTATTTGAAACAATACAATATTTATGATTTATAATATTAAAATATTGTCTTTATATCTTCTTTAGTTTTTTTGTGAACCGCTTACAAAAATAACCTGAAGCCTCCTGCAGAATCCGACATTTTCATTAGTTGTACATTCTGCGATACAACTTGATACAGCATTTGTCTATTCTTTATTAACCGTTTAAGAATATTCAATTTGGTAAAGTGTATATTACACTACTTTCTTTTCAAGTCTTGACAAAGAGAATTACATGCATTTCCTTCCTTGTTAATTTGGATTAAATAATTTACTATATAGGGATTATATAAAGTAAAGGTATTCAAGACTTTACGTAAATGCTAAAATATGAAGAACGGGAAATAATTTAGACTTTGCACAAGGAATCATTTTCATTATATAAGAAAAAAAAATAAACACATGGGACCTTGGCTTCTTCTTCGACGATTTCTTTATCAACATCTTTTGGATCATTAACAAACATTTTTTTTTTATTTACTTTTATAGTTTTATACTTATACGGAACAGATAAATAAAAAAAACCGAAATTTGGATTCAATTTTTTAAATGATCATCATTTACCGCAGTAATTCAAGAATTAAAAATAATTTATTTTTTGATTTATTGGAGGTTTTTTTTAAAGGAAAAAAAACCCAATTTGGTCTCAATAAAAATATACAAGAAAGAGGCTCTTCCCTAGTCTCTAATTTTGTCAAAAAAAAAAAGTATAACTATCCCAAGATTTTTATATGAAAAACAAAAATAAAAACTACAATAGATGGAAACAAATTTTTTTTCTTATTTTTTAATCATAATAAATCTGAAAATATAGATTTCATATGAACGTTGATGTAAATAAATATAATGATAAGAAAAGAAAATGAACAAAAGAGAAAATAAAGGACCTAAAAACAATCCA